TGATGGATGAGGCTAGTGCCTTAAAATCATCATTTTTTGTAAGCACGGAAACCCACTGAACCCTGTCAGATGGAATATCACCTTCTCCCCTAGAGCCGTATAAACTAAGGGCATAATCTATTCTCACAGGGGTATAGAGGAGTCCGGGACCAAACCTACACTTAACTAAAGGGCTGTTATACGGGGACAGAATATGAATTTTACAGTTATAATAGGAGTTTTAAAGTTTTGCTTGCCTAAGCTGAAATTGCTACTGAAACATTAGACCAGCCACAGGCTTTGGCACTCAAATCAAAGCTGGTGATTTTGACCCTTCTAAAGAATGACGTTTCTTGAAACAGTGTCTGTCATTGTTAGTTTCATTTTCTCATAAAATAAGAACTGTGGATCATGTGAAGACATAAGTGTCAAGCAAAATCTATGTTCAGTTTACAAAGAAGTGAAATTGTATACCTTCTATAATTTCAGTCCAAGTGTTAGAGCTTAGCAAGCCATACAGTCAATTGTATGCACAGAAATAAATCACAGTTTGTATATGTATGGCTCTTGAAACACATTTTTCTACAGGTATAATGACAAGGAGCGCAAATATACAGGAGATTGGAAAATGTGTAATCATTCTCTTCTGTAGAAGAATTAAAGACACTTATAGTAATGGACTAGGCATCAACCACTACCAAAGGTATCAACAATTTTCACTTTTACCATCTATCACTTAGAAAAATCTGCTTGCTGCTTCTGTCTTCCTCTACATGGTTTCAGAGTTAAAAATTAAATATGCAGCTTCACATCTCATTTTTAACAGTTAATTGCTGCATAAATACGCAGCATAAAGGAAAGCACAGACATTTTATAAAACCAGAATGGTTCTGAAATATTCAGTTGTGTCTTTATTTACATTTCTTATGCAGTAGATACATTTGAAAGACCTACTCTGAAGTGACTCCATAGTAAGGCAAAGTTAAATTTGCCTAGACAGCATCTGAACCAAAAATTTAAACTCCTCATCATTTTGGAGGCAATAGAATTGACATTTATTGCTGTGCCATATCAAACTACAGCCCCACCTCTGGATAACAGAAGACTACAGGGTAGATGGATGCTTTAAGAGCCTTCCCTGGAGCCATCCAACGCATACTGTGTCGTCTGTTTGATGATAAACTCCTGGAAATGCCTGGACTTGAACATTTTTCTGTGTTTTGTACAGATCTACTTCTTACAGTGTTTAGAATGATCATCATGATTAATCCATAGATAAACTACCCTAAGGAAGCCAATGTTGCCTGCCCTGCAAGAGCATGGCCTCAGATGTGGCATAAATACCATCTGCTCTCCGTTATTTACAGTGCCTAATACGGCTCCCCAGGGAGACATGAGTCCAACGCCTAAATTCACCGGTCATGCAGGGGAGGTAAGCACTAACTTTATTAGACTGTGAATTAGGCCACTGATCTGTAATACCCCCAAAGCCAGCACGCTGATTACAGATGCATATATATATATATATATCTCATCAGCAGACATCAGCAAACGCTTGCCTACTTCCTGACCAAAGCCACTCACAGAACAAGCCAGAACACTGCACTGCGCAACAGTGCTACCACCCCCCTTGGTGAACCTGTAGAAAACTGTGTCGTGTCATACAAAGTTCAGTTCTTTCAATATTAGAAACCAACGTAGAGTAATGCATCTCGAATTATCAAATGACCACACACTAATGTGATTTTCCCTGCCTAGTGCTTTCACAATAACTGAAGCAACAGTCACTTCAGCAGTGGAAAAAAAGAAATAAAAAAGCCAAACAACTGAAAAATATCTAGGTCACTACCAACTAAAAGATTAAATTTATTTTCAGTATCTCAACCTTGTTTTTTACTCAATTTGATGGTATGAAAGGACATTATTGACACACGGCCACTGTGCATACCCAGCCACACGTGCCTGTGCGGAATGCATGAATGAACTGCATGGTCAGTGTTATAACACTCAGACACCAATTTATAACTAAGCCATAAGATTTTAATGTAAGCTGATGGATGATTTTTGAAAGGTAAATGGCACAGGTAAGTTTCTCCTTTTGCTAAATGCACACGATTCCTGTTCTTTGGTATTTATACTTCTGTAACATAGCTTTCAAAAAACTTCAACTGGGAAGCAGCAAATTAGCTCCGTCTCCTAACTGGCTGGAATAAACAACCCATGTGTGAAGTTTTCCTTGAGCAAGGGGTTTCTTTCCTGTTTGTGCCTAAAAGGAAATGGAAGCATAGTAAAAAAACAGTCCAAAGGGGAAGAGACCTGCCAAAGGAGATACATGTATGTATTGCACTGCCTGTTAGGATTCTAAATTCCCGGCATGGCTTACATGGATATCTTTCACTGCGCTCTCTCTAGCACTGAATCTTATCTCCAGTGTTTAGAAACAAGAATTGTAATAAAATCTGTGGATCAAAATCTAAGAAATACAGCAGAATCTGCCCTGGTGGTGTTGCCCTGGCCATTCCATATATGACAACATGCAGTTTGAACTACAAATTAATGTCATGTATGAAAATAAAACAAAATCTAATTCTCATCTGTATTGGGTTTGCATGGCAAGGTTCTGGTGTGTTACAGGGGTGGCTTCTGTTAGAAGTTAATTAAATAAACTTCAAATTAACTTCAGCAAAGCCAGTGCCAGCCCCAGGACAGACCTGCTGCTGGCCAAGGCCAAGACCCATCAGTCACTGTGGCAGCACTTCTGTGGTAATGGGGGCGGGGAAAACTGCTGGGGAAGAGCAGTTGGAGAAAGGAGAATATGCAAGAGAAACAAGCCCTGAGGTCAGTGCAGAAGGAAGAGCAGGAGGTGTTCCAGGCACTGGAGCAGAGATTTCCCTGCAGCCCATGGTGCAGCCCATGGTAAGGCAGGATGTGACCCTCCAGTCCGTGGATGTCCATGGAGGAACAGAGATCCAACTGCAGCCTGTGGAGGACTCCACACTGGAGCAGGTGGAAACCTAGAAGAGTCTATGACCCCATAGGAAGCCTAGGTTGGAGCAGGGTCCTGGGAGGACTTCTGACCCCACAAGGGACTCACACTGGAGCAACCCGTTCCTGACGGACTGCACCCTGAGGGAGGGACCCACACTGGAGCAGTCTGTGAAGAACTGCAGCCAGTGGGAAAGACTCAGGTGAAGCATTCTGTGCAGGACTGTCTTCTGTGGGAGGGACTCCATGCTGTAGCAAGAGCCCTCCACCTGAGGAGGAATGAGCAGCAGAGACGTGTGATGTGGCTCCATTTTTGTTCCCCTGCACTGCTGGGGGGAACCCACTGAAGAGGGGGGAAGGTAGAGAAAATCAGGAGTGAAGTTAAGCCTGGAAAGAGGGAGAGGTGCAGGGAAAATTTTTTAAGATTTTTATTTATTTATTTTACCTTTCTCTGATTTGATTGTAATAATTTCCCACCCCCTCCAAGTTGAGTCTGTTTTTCCCATGATGGTACCTGGTGAGTGATCTCTCCCTGCCCTTATCTCAACTCTTGAGTCTTTCATCATATTTTGTCTCCTCAGCTCAGCTGAGGTAGGTGGTGACAGAGCATCTTTGATGGGCACCAGGCATCCAGCCAGGGTCAAGCAACCAGATAACCCTGGTATCTTTCACACACCCAGCAGTCTTTATTCATAAATTACAGCAGCAGTAACTTCAATCAATACTGAATACCTAGAAAATCTATTTTTAAAAGTTTCTATAATACTTAGAAGGCTTAACATACCTGTTTTAGTGAATAAAAAACCTAATAATTGCTGTTCTTCTGAGTAGTAAAATCCACTCACATTACATTACATATATATACTTGCACAACAGAAATTTTCAAGATAGGGAGAATCTCTCTCCTGCTGCACTGAACTGTGAGTCATGAACATTTCCAACAGTCCACATTCAGTTGTTTAATCTCTTTTTCACAAAGGAACTAATTTCAGCCCAGAATTTAGACAGATGCTTAATACCCTGTTAGGTTGTTCCAATACAGCCAATACAGCCAGAAAAACAACTATTTACTCTGTGTCATGTTTGAGTTCCATAGTATTCATGTTCTAAAAAAAGATAATGAACTTCTAAACACTTTCCAGTAAATGTTATTATAATTTTAGGCCTTCCTCAACAGGAATATTCTACAAGCTCTGGACATGTCAATCAAAATTTTGTATTAAATTTTACTTTTTAACAATTTAAGTCTACTGGACAAACACAGAGTATTCCAGGTTAATAATGTGCCCTCTTTCACACTGAGCATGAACAGGTCAACACAGAAATTTCAAAGGCCATCTTGAAATTCTCTAGCATCAGCTATTCTTGGGCTTAAAATATGATGTGAAATCTGCTTGAAACAATGAGGATTCCCCAGGATCAGCCAGGAATGTCAGCTTGTCTCTGGGATGAAGGAAGGATATAGAGTCAGCTGGGAGCAGGAACAAAACAATCTAATAAATGGAAAAGGGGTAGAGACAGAGATGCTGATTTCAGCCAATGTAACAGCTCTAATAGCTCCTATAGGACCAGTTCAGCTGCCTCCAAAAATGAAAGAGCTGCCTTGTACAGAGGTCCATTTCAGCTCCTGACTGCTTCCCAAGTCAAGTGAGGTCTGTAGCTGACATGTATTTACATCTGGCTTCTCAATGTACGAGCATTGAGAGGTCCACTCCAAAGACTTTTTTAAGAACCTTCCAATCACATTCCAGATGACTTCATGGAGTGTGACAAAATCAAAAGAAAAGGGGAGAAAACAGATGAGTGATGTAAGACACTGCCACAGAGAACTGTCAAGATGTCAACAGACTTTTTTTTCCAATTCTTTTAATTAGCCCCAACTTTACTACAGTTCAAATTAAAGCATCACCACATGCTATTGATTCCAAGCAAAGCTCAGATTTCTAAAAAAGCCATTTTCATAAAAATACACACATAAAACACTCACTTAAACAACTACAGGGTCTTGAAAGAAAGTAACTGAGAAATACAAGTACCTGTTGTCCCCACGGGCAGGATCCTTGGGTTTAGTATCACTATCATAAACAAAACGCTCTTGGGAGATGACTATGATGTTCTCTGTAGTTTCATTTCCCAAGATAGTGATAACAGGATAACCCATCTGTAATGTCCACTGATCCATTACCTCTTGGATGTTTACAGATTTTCCAACCCTTTTTAAAGCCTTGGAAAAAAAAGAGAAGTTACAAAACACTGAAGCAGTGTCAACATGTAAAACTTTTTTTTTTTTTTTTTCTTTTGGTCCTCAGGATCATAACTGGTTTTGAAGGGTAAAATAATTATCACACATGTATGCAGATACGCACAGACACACACAATACAGACACACTACATAACTGAACTTAAGGCTCTGTGTATCTTAAAATTAAATGTTGAGCAATCTTAACAGAGAGCAGAGTGACAGTCAGTCATGTTTTCCACATCATTCAAGTACTTCTGCTGTAACAGAAGAAATAACCTGCTTTACAGGATTTAACAAGAGCCACAAAAATACTGGGTAGCTATTCTTAGCCAGCTAAGGTTAAAAAAGACACAGTGTTAGCTGATCTAGGCACCTACAATAAGGAGTATTTGAAAGGCCCTAATTTCTAAAAATACAGAGCTTCTCTGTTCTGAAAATCAAAAGTTAGTTATGACTAGTTATTTGAAAATACTGTCCCTTAAGTCCAAAGTGAAGCTATGTATAACAAGATATCCCCTGCTGCTTCATAAACTGCACCTGTCACAATACATAGAAGATTAATGTGTTCATATTTGATTCCATATGTCAATAAAAATGCTGTTTTACAAGTGGATTTTCATCTGAAACACAAAGAGATACTGTAGCATCATGGGAGATGAGACTGCATATGAGGAGAAAGAGGCATCATTTGTTCTTTAGCGGTGGACATGCTCCTAGCTGTCGAACAGTCCAAGATCACAGACTGAGCAACCTCTGATGAATACAATCAGAAGGTTTCTTCAGAACTGAAGCTGCAGTTGCACTGCATTAGGAACAAAGGGGCTGGCAACAAATGCATTTACGACTGAGGCAAACAGAATTATTAGCTGCAACAGTAGGTATGAGCACACAGCATAGCTATAGTGGTTATAGACCAGAATAGAGTCTCAATTTTGTTCTACTTTATTAGCTATGGATTCTGCAGCTCTTTCAAGACAACATTTATTCCTCTGACTTCCCATCGCCCAGGACTGTCCCAGAGGCTTTAATAAAGGCAGGCAAGAAAGATCCTTGCAGTGACATTCAGCTAGAGATCAAGACATAGATTTAAAAGCCTGACAGTATGTTACTCATCTCAGCTCTCATTAGCAGTCAGTATAGACATAGGACTTAGTTCAGTTGACCACATGCAGGTGACTAATGTCATTTGACCTTTACCTGCCACTCCAGAAGAGCACAGATTTCCCCATATGTCTTATGCTAAATTGGTTAGACACGCCTGAATGTCTCAAACATCCTACTGCACCTAATCCGGCACTACTTACCTGTATTTGAACAACTATCTTAAGTCTCTAGTCAACAGTCAGTGGTTCAGGCTTATTATAAAATAATCATGTAGTGGCTACCCAACTGAATAACTCTCTATGCTCTGCTGACTTTATTGACTAGATTTCTGGGATTCCAGTCGTTCCTATTCACTAGTGTCAAATGACATGTCCTAAAATATTCAACACATTCTTTCAGAACCAGTGTACCTACAACAGATGTGTTTCTCATGTGGCAGCTGGAAGCCAGGTAGGATAAATTAAGGTCAAAGCTGTTAGAAGTCTGTGAATTGGCAACTGAAGGCTCAGTGAGAACAACAGGATCTTGGACACCTAGTTTACATGTATATTCCTGCTTGTCCAGATGTCTTGACCTCCAGCTGAATCCTAGCTTTGGTGTGAATAGTTACAACTAGATTGTCATGTTTTGTATGGCTTGAACTGCTACTTGTGCCAAAACTCTCTGACTGTACTCCACATTGCCCTCCACTCAGTCTTTATTTCTGGGGAAGACTCAGGCTAGCTCAGACTAGTCCCATAGGGAGAAATTCAGGCACACTTTGCTCATCTTACAAAAATTATAGCCATTGTGGAGTCCTAGACCAGGGTCTAGAACTCAAGCCAAGCCTGGATATGGTAATGTAAGTCTCTACAGCATGCCAAATGTTACAGTAAATAATTCTCTGTTTACATCATACTTTGAAGCTTTAATAGTTTTGTCTTTCACAAAAATCTTAACTCCACGCAAAATCACAAACACAAGGGATGGAAACGCCAAAGCTCAGCACTTTTATGTGCTTTCCAGCTTATGGGTCTCAGTGTACTGCCACTGAAGTCAGACAGAGATTCCATGAAGTATCTTTCACTGCACATCAGTGCCACAGCACATGCAGGGAAATATATTCTAACATAACAAAGAATAGAAATGCTGCAGTACTCATCTTTTTAATGTTGCCACTAGGTTAACTCAAATGGAAATTCTTTGCATCAGTTTTTATATTTGCTCTGTGGCTTGAAGATCTCAACATGAACTATTCACTCCTGATCTCACGAAGAAAAACACCATAGCAAATTCCTGTTTCTCCCTCTGTGCAATAGATTAAAGCATTTTACCTTTGACAATGTGTTCCAGAGATCATTTCTGGCTGCATTGCCATACTTGTGAATGGTTAAATAGTCCTACAGAAATAAAATAAAAACAAAAATCAGTATTACAATACACAAGCCAAACAACTAGAGCTATTAGGAGTTAAATCACATCAATGTTTGCATTTGCTAGAAATCTAGAAATATACAGCATGTTCATCCTAAGGGAATAAATAAACAGTTTCTTAAGCTACTTTGCAATGCAAAAATTGTCACTAAAAATTTCATTTACAACATTCAATGCTCTTCCTTTTCTGTATAAGACATTCTATAAGCTAAATATCTTTTATTTATATATATATATATATATATATATATTTAGAATACATGTCTAATCTTGGGAAAGGTTCCTAGGTAATTCTTGGCAACGAAAGGAGAAGCTGCGGAAACACAGTTCCAGTTGCTATTTTAGCAGGTCATCCTGCTTTGTCTAGTGTCAAAAATTTGTTCACTCAGATGACAGTCTGATTCATTACAGAAGATTTAACTGAGCAATAGTCCATCTAAACTCCAAACTCTTATCTAGGGAGATCCTGGCCCTTCAGTGTCAAAATACATCATCCTGGCAACTAGGGTTGTAACAGGTTATCACAAAAGCTTCCCACAACAGGGAGCAGTAGAGGATGTGTTACAGGAATCTAACTGTGTGCTTGTGCAGAGGGACCTACATGTGTGTTTTCCTACCAGCTGTGAGTCATAGTCCAAGCAGGTTATAAACTGAATGCTTTCACTTATTCTGCAACAGTTTCAGTAACTAAAGGTCCATTCTTCTCCCTTAACGACCAGAAAGGTTATTCCCAATAAGCCTCCATTGTTTTAAAACAACTTCCCAAATTAATAGTTTAAGCATATTACCAGCTCAGGTCTAGGTTTTTCAAGCATAAAATACTTTGCTTTTAAAATGACTTCTGGAGAGACAACACTCTTGTTTCCCACCATCCCATGTCCCTTGACAACAGCTCATTCAGTTACAAAAGTGAAATTCAGCATTGATTATTTGAATAACATAAATTTAAAGCATTTGATTGGGAAAATTAAGTGAAAAAAATAGATCAGAGGTTGTACATCAACTGGTTCTCCTAAAATTGAATTTCTACCATCTTCACTTTACACAATGGTAGAAGACAAACCCTAATTTACTGCACAATGATAAAACTGGGACAATTTGCTGACTATGTTATCTGTGCTTTGTGTGAAGTAAGATACTTTGGGAATAATTAGTATTTGGAAAGCAAATTTTCTGATACACAAATTGTAGCACCTGCGACAGATTTAGCTTTTGTCAGCCAACTTATAGTAAAACAAGCAACAACTCCCATTTAATCACAGACTAGGAAGGCTAAATGAGAACACTGACTCTGTAAATGCAGTGCTGAGTCTTAACAATGTCATGAGACTAACTCGGAAAAAAGACAATATGATATAGGCTGCACCTATAGCACACTGTGCTTCCATTTTATCTAAAAATACAGAATCATTTAAGATGCAGTGAAACATTCAATAGCTTCCAAAGCTAAAGAAGCTGAAATGCAAATTAGAAAGCTAAAACAGGAATAAACAAAAATGGGACAAGGTAAATAAATAACAACAGATATACAATCCCCATTTTAAGCAATACTAGAAAATGCTGCATATATTGGTCCTTCTGAGAGATGCTTTTAGAATCATTACAGAGCAAAATAAAATGGGTGAACACCTAAGGACTTCATCCAGGCAATAATCCTGTTTACCAATCTACAATGAGACATTATGTTGACTTTTACATTTTGTGTTCAGAAAGACTGCAGAGATTAAATGCTTCTGCCCCTTTCTTCTGAGTTTGAGCTTCTGAGTTTGGTTTTGTTTGGGTTTTTTCCTCCCGATACATAGATTGGGAGGTTTAAATGTAGTCTATCACTCAGTTAAAAATTTATTATCCTCCAACCTAACATGTTTATCTCACACAAAAAAAACCAAAAGGAATCCTAACCTTTACCTTGAAGTAAGAATATACAGCAAGAAACACAGTGTCTTGGCATGATTCCTGTACCATACAACCTAATCATCAATTTTGTCATTATTTCATGAAAGTTGCATCAAGAGCATAAACACAGCATAAAACTAGGAGTGTGATCAAACTCATGCACAAAAAGCAGTCCTAAGTGACAGCATGTATCAACATAGGTTTTCAGTAGTAAACCTACGCTGCAGTCTCAAATCTGAGTGCACTTTCCAGAGGCACAAGAGCAAAAGGTTTCTGAACCAGGTCCTATCAAATACCCTCTTATTCCTATCCTCATACATTGTGTTTGACAGTAACCAGCAGCAGACACTTGGAAACAGTATAAAGCTAGAAAAGCATACAGTGGTACCTCCCACAACTGCTCTTCAATCATCCAGCACTTCACGGCACAAGAAACCCTAAGCAGATTAGTATCCTTGCATTTAATAGTTATCTTCTGTAAATATGGCTGGTTTCTTTCTGAGCCTACACAAATCAGCACTTGCAACACCTTATGAAAAAGCATTTTGCGCTCCAGTGATCTGTTGTGTGACACCTGTTCCAAATGCCTGCCTGTCCACTGGTTTCATCCGCTGCTTCCTACTTCGGGCATTAGAAGACACAATGCATTACTGTTCCCCACTTCACTCTCCCCAGGCCACTCACGTTTTTACAGATCTTTATGGAATGAGTGCCCACCCCAGGGCTTATACAGGTTTTATACTGAGAACTCTGGCAGACCCAACCACTCCCAGCTCTGCTGCAAAGTTATACTGCCACCCCAGCTACTGACTCCAAAGGTAGTTTGGATAGTTTCTGACCCTGCCTGAACTTTCATTACCAGACGATGAGTCTCACTTCCTCTTCCATTGACAGGCATTCAGCTTAAAAAGGAAAAGACATATCAGCATCAAATACATATCAGTAAATAATAAAATACGAGCCAAAGATCTATATATACCCTGCCTGTGTATTCTAAGGATAGAACAAGCAGGATTATAATCCATTTTTCCTCCTGGGGACTCATATCTAAGTCTTAAGCAGCTTGCAGAGGGGCAGAATTCATGTTCTCATTCACTGTAACTCTCCAGGGCAGGAGTATTAGCCGCCCCTTTGCCTGTACATTCAGTAGAAAAATCAAAGCAAAGGGAACAGAGACGCAAGCCACAGAACAGAAAAGGAGGATGACACTGAAAACACAGCTGTCTGAATCTAAGTTGTGCTCAGCACAGCTCCAAAGGAGGCAAAGTGACTTAAAGCCACTTATTCATAAACACATATGCCCAAAACCATCTGGCTGCAAGGCTGCTTCCCATCATAAACTTGCAAGTCTATCACTGACAAAAGCTGTTCCATTGACTGGAGTATACTGGAGCATGAAGATATGCATTAGCCACCTTCCTGTCAGCCTATGGTGTGTGTGAGCACAAAAAGATGGCATGCAAATCTCTTTAACAACTCAAGACTCAAGTGTGCTCTTCATGGAGAAGGTAGGAAAAGTTCGCAGACCCTAGGGCATTGTCACACAACATGAAAATTAATGAAAAACACACACCTAGAAGTAATCATTTGGGTTTATATTTTCAGCATACATCCTCTTGTATTATTCTTCCTAATATTTTCGCATTAAAACATGAAGCCACTCTTTGCCAAAAAAGAATAATGGAATGTGATCCATTCACCTCTATCAATAAAAAATTGATCAGACAATGCAGTTTTCTAACATGCCTTAGCAAGTCTCAACATCAAATAAATAAATAAACTAAATATCCTCTGTGATACCATGAAAACAAAGCCCATTTAATGCTCAACCAAAACGTAAGATCCTTCCAAAAATCCCTACAGATTTAATGTGTTATCAAACAGTAATCTTAATCACCCCCCAAAAAAAGAATTAAAAGGCTCAATGCTTTTGAAATTATTTCTTGAGAACTTGAACTGGAACAGTAGTAAGAACAGCAAAAAATGCTAAGATTTTGAAAGATGGCTTTAGTGATGCTGTATTGATTAAGCTTTCACAATTTTTATTGTATTAGTTTTTTTAAGAAAATCAGATTATTTAAAAGGGAAAAGTCTTTAATTTCTTCACAATATTACCTAGTAACTAAGCCTCTTGGTTTAAAAATAAATTAACTACCCCACTATCCAAACATGGTAACATGCTCACAACCAAAAAAAGGTAATGACTGATAAATACCAAAAGGTTAAACAAATGTAAAGGAGGAATAAGTCTCCACACATGTGTCTTACTTCCAGGGGAGATTTTACATCTACAAACAGAAACTGAAATATCAAATCTAGGACTAAACTCCTTTCTCAGTTAATCTGTAATAAGTTGATTGCTCAGCTGAAGGAACAGCTCCAGACTAACGTGAGTGGTGTTGAGATCTGAAACAGATGATACTGAATAACTTCATTTTTCTCCTAAAGATAACTGGAAAATTTCACCATATGAAGAAGGAAAAAGTAGAAAACTATTCTCATCTCCAGTTCATGTGGCTATGTTTCTCCTTTCTCAAGGCTCAGGAAAAGCAGATTTGCCTCTACCTCCCTTTTTTGTATTTCAATCCTACTCCTCAGTGCACATCCTCCTCCCTTTGGCCTACAATATGTTCTTGTTCAGTGGTTTTATACATGACTGCTGTATATCACCCAAGATTTAACACTACAAATAAAAACATTTAGTTCAGGTAGAAATCATGCTCTACAGCTCCAGGTATCAAATCCAGTGTGTTTGTTTTCCTAGGAATTTATATACTTAATCTTAAATTGCCTGACACTATCTGACAGATGCTGACTCTGACTATAACATGCTCCTTTTTCCTCCTTTCCTTCACACTGGTAACATCAAATCTGCTATCACGTATTATCTTAACATCGCCTAATTAAAAAAAAAAGCTTGGGCAAGGGTCAGAGGGTAGTGTATATGTTTGCAAAGGTGAGCAACAAACAAGAGGGTGCGAGAACCAGTGGTAAAGGACTACCAGCAAGCTACAAAACCATGAAGATTCCCATAAGAGAGGAAGACTACTGAATAGAAAATCTAAGAGAG